TATATATATATATATTTCAAAATCTTTTTTTTATGTGAGTTCTCAGCTGCTGCTAATACAATAAGAATATCTTTTAAACAAATGAAGGTGCATAGATGTGGGGGCGGGAGGATTAATGGGTCTCTCCGTTATCATTTTACAAATACACACAGCCTCCCGCGGGCGCGCGACCACGGACACGCCCGCACACACACTCTGCAGTGGAGACTTTAGGGAAATTCCCGCCTGCATATACACTACTGATTTGCGTATGTTCACTGCTCTTAAATTGTTTGGCTTTAACTGTTAACACGCCACACCTGCACACAGTTACTGTCAGACACAGACACACACAGGCTGACACACACACACACACGCAGCAGCAGGGGAGTCAAAAAAAAAAAAAAAAAGAAAAGAAGAAAAAACGACTTAAAACGTCTGTACATAAAAACACAACAAGGGTTCGATTCTTATCAAAGTTGACGGTCATTCAAACACAGACCAGCTGATCAAACCTCACAATCTAGTCTCGGGCTGGTTCTAGCAACAGGGGGCGCTCATAGTGTGGACTGTCCAACAAGAGTTTTTAATGGAAGAAAACGTGAATTAATCCTTTAAATATGTATCAAAAAAGATCTCTGACTCTAATTATGGAATATATTATTGTTTCCCAAAGACTGGGTCGCGACCCTCAGGTGGGTCGAGAGAGCTTTTTTTCTTTTTTTTTTTTGGGTCGTCTCGCAACAAAAAAAGTTTGGGAAACACCGGAATATGTCACCTAGGTCCCAGGTTTACGGGAAGTTGTTTTGGGTCTAAAAACATCAACGGAACTGGACTGAGGTAGGATTTAAAGAAGCAGGATTTGTTTTTGACAGGTGGAGGTAGGTATTTGGTGTCACCTGTATGTGTTTATCTGTGTGTGTGCGTGTGTGTGTGTGTCCCAGGTGCAGCCTGGCTTATAGGAATCTTAACTGTCACCTGTTGGAATCAGGACATAGGGGTTTTCCAAACACGTTCTTCAAGTGTTTTTAGTAAAACCTAAATAAACTAATGTCATTGTTCCTTTAAATGTCCAGCACCTACTGGTCACTTCGGACAAATGTGTGTTATAAGTTTAGATGTGCTGTGTTAACAATGACCACTCTGGATGAAAACACTTGAGAATACAATTTTAGCGCAGGCAAAAAGTAATTCATATTGTCGCTGATATTTGGCGTCTTTGACATTTGGTGTAATAGCCTAGCTTTTCTGGATTTTTTTTTTAAGGTTAAGTAATATGAGTTTTCCAAATAAAAAGTCTTTCAAATTTCTCCTTGAAAAGAGCGTTACGGGATACATTTCATTGAGAAGATAATAAAGTTGTCTTTGGTTTTTACGTCAATCCTACGGCAATGCGCTAAAGATAAGGAATGGGATTGGGAACTGCATGGATTCTGAATTCCCACGGAAAAGAGCTCTGGTCTTCCAGTGACCAATCCTGAAATCTATGGTGTCAATAAAATCTCATAAAGTGCAGCGCAGCCCTGGTACCTTATCACTTTAAACACACAAAACTCAGAGCAGAGTCGACATGTTTACACCTGTCTGTTTTTCCGAGAGATTTATTAAAAATAAAGCAACAGCCTTTAAATCACAGGTGAGGATTACCTCGTAAATCAATTTTCTTTTTTTTCTTTTTTTTTGCAAAAAAAAAAAAAAAAATCAGAGAAACCATCAATGTTCAAAGTTCAAATTCAAACATTAGCTGGTGTGGAAAAAATTCTGTTCATATTTAGAACTGGCTAATGTAAGGTTTAAGGCTCCATTCCTGTTTATTGAGCATAAAGATTAATTTCATTCATGCTAAATTCATGCCTTTAGATTTGTAGTCCTGTGTTAGCAAAGTTGTTACATTCAAAATGGTTGCATTATGGCTAGTTTAGGCTTTCAGTTCTGTGTTATGGTTACAAACAGTTAAACAAACATTTCTGTGCTCGTTCATTTTAATACTTTGAATAATTGTCGCCATCTTGTGGATAAACGTCACAGCTCCATCTGCTGTGCTAAAAGCCACACTTTCCCGCCTTTAGTTATTTTAAAAATAGTCTACCAGTAGATGACAAAGGTAGAGCTGGTAGATTATGAGCAATTAAAATATTTTTTAAAAAAATATTAATTATATAACTCTGAGTTTGTCGTAGTGACCATATACTGTAAGAATATGAATCATATTGTAGCATAGAGCTACAAGCATTTAATCAGTACCCTAAAATAAAAAGGCTGAACAAAATATGTTCAGTTAATGTGAGTAAATATATATATTTACCTTTTGACAGTAGATTCAGAACAAGACTTTCTTCATAAATGTATGGGAGACGACCACGTAAACACGAGGACATTGTGAAATGAGGACCTCCTGTTCTTCCATTATCTACAGCTGAACTGCATGAGATGTTCACTGAACTCTGGAAAATTCTTAAACGGTCTGAATAAGACATTTGCAACACGCTGTAACCTAGTGGTTCTCAATTATTTTCTGTCATGCACCAACTTCGGGACAGAAATGTTTTCACGTACGTCCCCCCCCCCACGAATTGAAACACTATCGAGAATAGAGCTGGTAGATTATGAGCAATTAAAATAATGTTTTTTTAAATATTAATTATATAACTCTGAGTTTGTCGTAGTGACCATATACTGTAAGAGTATGAATCATATTGTAGCATAGAGCTACAAGCATTTAATCAGTACCCTAAAATAAAGTACCTAGTGACAGGAGGCTTGTTATCATTCAAGCATTACAGCAAAAAAAACATATATATGTAAACATATATATACACACATATATGTATATATGTATGTGTATATATATACTGTATATATATATATATAATATATATTGCAAATGTTAGCTATTTCCACTAATGTCAGTAGTGTCGGTGAGAACCAGCTCTAGAAAGTGCAGCAGTGTCTGTTATCAGCTGTAACGTTTGCAGATTTGGTTTCCTGTGACCACAGTCAAGTCCACCCAGATGTTTGGCCCTGATACAGGTAAGAGCCAGGAAAGTACCAAATTGAAAAAAAAAAAATTGAATCTAAAGAAGAAAGTTAGAACTAATAAAACATCCTTTTAAAGGGCAGTTTCATTTCATTTTTTACACAACACAAATCAGCACCAGTTCCCTGTCTCTTTAAGCGTAAACCATACATTTTCTCGGTCGACTTTGCAGGAGACGTATGTTCATTAAACCGATTGAAGAAGAAGAATTGGCTTCTTCTGAATTTCAGAATCTTATAACTGCACTTCAGAACACTTCGATAAAAATCAAAACGTCAACGAGTTCTTCACATTTCCTGTTTGCTACTATTTCCTATGGCGATAAGAGGCTTGTCAAAAGTGCAACCTTTGAGGTTTGTGGCTTGGTCTCCATGGATGTTGCTCCTCTCAGAAGCTGAGGCTAGAATTAAAAATGTAAACGTCTGTAGTCCAAACCTGTGTGTGAGTCAATCCAACATTAATTTACCTACACCTACATACATACGTACACATATATACTGTATGTATCTATGACATAAAACACACATAATACATAAGTTCAATATTTACAATACAATGAATAGAGGTATACGGTGAAAAAACGTAAAACTCATATACAACATACATATGTACATACATATACAACATGCACAGTGTTTTTTTTTTTTTAACCTATGAGGCAACACTAAGAGATTGAGATAGTTGGCCATCTTACTTGACTGATAAGGGTGTTAAAACCTCAACTCGAGTTCCTTTCCGCATCTGAACGTCTGAATATAAAGCTGAGCTTATCATTTTTCTTCTTCACTCTCCTGCTGATCATGTGGCTCCTTCTTGTCTTCGTCACGCAGCTGCTGATAACACGGGCAGAAACAGGTTTGTTCATCGGGATTTACTTCAGTTATTTTAGAAAGTCTTTATTTGAACTAAATTCTTAAATGAGTGAGTTAGTAAAATTGGACAGGGTCAGTTGTGAATCAAACTAATCTGTTTACCTTAATAATATGATACATTTTGAAAGCTCAGTTTTAAATACATAAGTTAACAATGAATTAATTGGAATAATTCAGATATTATTTTGAAATTTGAAAAACTTTGAAAGTTTTTGCATTTAGATATCAAACCCTAAATGCATTTTTCTTTTATGAATTATGAACTTTTATTTAAAAAAAATAAATTTATTTTTTCTATGTAAATATTTCTGAATATTTAGTTTATTTTATTTTTTCCTACTATTTAAAGTGTTAGTGAAATCTGCCATTGACATTGATATATTACATTTTAAACACTTTCTTAAAAATAAATGGGTTTTTTTGCAAAATTTTTATACGATTTGTTTTTGTATTTTGACAGGCTTGATTGTGCCGAGATATATTACATTTTTTTATAATTATAATTATTAATTTCTTGGTCATTCTTCACAAGTTTTTAACTGTTTAAATGGCTAAATATAAAATTGTAAATCTATTTAATAATAATAATAATAATAATAATAATAATAATAATAATAATAATAATAATAATAATAATAATAATAATAATAATAATAATAATAATAATAATAATAATAATAATAATAATAATAATAATAATAATAATAATAATAATAATAATAATAATAATAATAATAATAATAATAATAATAATAATAATAATAATAATAATAATAATAATAATAATAATAATAATAATAATAATAAT